GCAGTCAGGGGACAAGGAGCGGGGGGGAGGGTTGGGGGTTCTGAGGGGGGCGGGAAGTGGGTGGGGCAAGGGCGGGGCTAGGGCAGGATGGGGGCGGGGCTAGGGCGGGGCTCCTCCCATCCTCTTTTTTGCTTGCTGAAATATGGTAACCCTAAGAAAACCGAATACCCTTGCCCTGCCCCTGTCCCTTCTCCTAGCCCCCGCCCCCTCTCACTCCATCCCCCCTCCCTCATTCGCTTTCCCCCCCCTCGCTCACTCCCTCATTTTCACCAGGCTGGGGCAGGGGATTGGGTTGCAGGAAGGGGTGAGGGCTCTGGCTGGGGGTGTGGCTGAGGGGTTTGGAATGCAAGAGGGGGCGCCAGGCTGGGACACAGCATGACCACATGGACAGCATTGCACTGCTTCCTACAGATCCTGGAATTTTCAAACCGTCCTTGCAGCTTATTCTTTGCTGGGGTAGGGGTGGAACAATGTGGTGGAATCTCCATGTGGGGATCTTCAGAGATTTAATCCCCCATGTTCCCTCCAGGGAGTTTTACTGCAGGAGGCGGGGGCAGTCTGGCTTTGTTATATTCTGTACAGGAGCTCTCTGACTAAGCTTTGTGCCGGAAGTCCCTCAATTTAATTGTGTGTTTAATTGTGAGATCCAAAAGACACAAATACTGACTGATACTATGTACAGGCGGGGGAAATACTTCTAAAATAACTGTCAGTGATTCCCCTTTGTTCTGCAGGAACTAGTATATTACATCATTTCCTGTGTTGCTCAGCTAATGCCACTGACTAACTGTTCACAACATAAAACAAGTTAGTGAAGCGCTTATGTTTTTACAGGACAGAAGCTGCTGGATACCTTAGCTGAAACCTGGGATTTCTTTTTCAGTGACGTCCTGCCCATGCTTCAGGCTATTTTCTATCCTGTGCAGGTGAAATATTACTTTGTTACTTTAGAATCCAGAAAAGGCCGTTTGACGGGTTGATCAACAAATTGTCACAACTGTCAAACTATGCCAGAGGGACCAATCTGTTAGTGCAGCTGTTCTGTAGAGTCAAGTCATTTGCATGAATGGTGAAGTTCTCATGTGAAAAACATGAAGGGGGAACTTTGAAAAGAGGAACTGCATGCAGTGAGGATGTTTAGTCCTTATGTCAGCTCACACTAGAGCAAAAGGATATGAATAGTAAAATGAAGATGGGCAATCAGTGAAGCAAGCACAGCTGTGTTGACTTCAGCATGTACATTTCCAGCTAGGCCTTGTGCATGGATATATCTGAAGTGCCTGCACTTGGTATAGTGTTAAAAATGTCAATGGAAAATTTTGTACTCTGTAAGTCATTTTCAGACACTTCCAGTTTTGTTAGTGGTGTACTTCTTCGCTGGTGTAAATTGGCTCAGATTCATTGAAGCGAGTGGAGTTTCACTAATTCACATCAGCAGAGAATTTTACCTGAAATCATTTTAAACATGCTTAAGGCACTTGACCTCCTTGTGGGGAAAAAGGACCTGGTTTTCAGAAACATCCTCCTATTTTGCAGGGTTAACTTTGCATCTACAATTAATTGATAAATCTGTTAATTGGGATTCTAAATGCTGTCAGTATGATCATTTGCACTTGCAGGCACAAAATCCTAGTTTTGCGGAAAAGTTGAAACTTTATAAATATGTTGTTTCTGCAAGTAAAGGAAACAGCTGAAAAAATTCTTAAAGCATGTAAAGCATACAGGGCCACATTGTTAACTGACTTGTGCCATGTGTAGCCATTTAAACCAGTACAATCAACAACAAATCAGAATATTGGGTGGAATTTTCAAAAGTATTTTGGCACCTAGTGGGATTTTCAAAAGCTGCAAGGTAAATTAGTTGCCTAATGTCCCTCTCAAATCAATGGAAGTTAGACACCAAACTCACTTAGGTGCTTTTGATAATCCCACTAAGCACCTACTTACATCTTTAGGTGCCTAACTTTCTTTGAAAATCTGCCCCTAGGTGAGTTAGGAACACAAGACCCATTCTCTTTCTATGGGACTTGTGACTGGGATTTTCAGAGGAATCTGAATGTGTATCTGAGGACGTGTATGTCCTAGGGATGAGCCCTTATGTCACCAACTGAACTAACTACAGTAGTGCAAACCCTAGTGTAAACAAGGAAATGGGGGCTAATCCCTAGTACAGACAAAGCCAGAGGCTGCTATTGCTGCTAGAAACACGTTCTTTGGGCAGGAGCTGTCTTTAGTGAGATGTGGTCTTCCCTGGAGAAAAAGTAGTTGCATGAAATCATGATGTGAAGCATCAGCTCTGCTTCTGCTTTGTACACTGAGACAGTAGTACAGGCAGGTTTTGAGCAGTGGCGGAACCAGGGGGCCGAAGGGACTTTGGTGGTACCCACCTGCAGTTATACCTATTGGCTTGAAAAGGTGCCACACATAAACCTAAAGGCCACCAGGGGGCTGGTCGCCCCCTCTCCATTAGCTCTGCCACTGTACTGAGGGTTCCCTGAATTTTAAAGAGAGGGGGAGCCACCTCTGGGCAGGGCTGGGAAGTCCCAAACCTAGACAAAGTGTGAATTCCCACCCGGCACCCAAATCAGGGAAATAAACAGAAATTCAAACGTTGCCCTTGTTAAAATACTCTTAAAACTTTATACTACTATATTTAGGGTTCCAAAATATTCTTACAGGATGTAAATTCAGGAAAGATCCCCGATTACATGCGTATCCAGATGTGGCAAAGTTACCACTAACACACTTCTTCCTGGCTGGATGTCGTGCTGCAACAACTTTTGCCTCAGTTTCCCCCACTGTCCTTTGGCCACGCCTGGATTCTCCGACAGTCCTTGTCTGTCCCTCTGACCCTGGACAGTCACCCCAGCCCTTCTAGCTGAAGTGCAACCCAGCTGTTCCCTGAGGGAACCCCTGCAGCCTCTCTCCTGGGAGCATCCCTCATTCCCTCTGCCCCCTCACTGTTCCTCCGGGTCCAGCTCTCTGGCTTTGCAGAAGTCAGTGGGTAAGCTCCCCTGTAGCTCCTCTGCTTCAGCCTTCTTTGGCCCTCAGCTCTGGCGGTCTGGTTTAGAGCCAGCGGGCAACTGCCTCTGCTGCTCTTTGACCTTCAGCCCTCTCCAGCCCCAGTGCTCTGGCTTGGGGACACCCGTCAGCAAACCCGTCTTCCTGCTTTCCTGCCTTCAGCCTTCTCCCAGGCACCACATAAAGTCTCCTGGCTCTGGCAGCTCTTACCGCCTATCATTCCCCTGACTGACCCATGCCCTGACTCACCAGGTCTCTCCTCCCCTAATACCAAGAAGTACCCTCTTGTAAACCCAATTAATTGACCAAACTGGAGTGTGCTGATAAGGCTCTAGCACACTGGCCCTGCTCCCTCTTAAAGAGGGTCTTGTACTGATTTGTGGATTACAGACTAAATAATCCAGTCCATGGCAATGATAGACAAGTCATACAAAAGTATCGTGTGAGTCCACACAAAGATTATGCATCTACAAATTGGTTTGATTTTTGACCATCCCAAATATTTCCTTTGAATTTGCATTGAATTTACCATTCCTACTACTCGTAAAGATTTAAGAAAAGCACTTATACTTGGGATTCTGACAGTTATTTTTAAATGGCTCGTCATCCTTATTGTGGTGATTCTGTTGATAGGGGAAGGAGCCCTCGGTTCGTCAGCTGGCTCTCCTGCATTTTCGGAACATTATAACCCTCAATATTAAATTAGAAGATGCCCTGTCGCGTTCCAGAGCCAGGGTTCCACCTTCAATTATTCAGATGCTGCTAATACTCCAGGTAAAGAGTTTTGGTTATATTTTAAAAATCTCTTTCTATGCTGTATTGACAACATTTTCAAAAGTGGCCACTGATTTTTGGGAGCCCAGTTTGAGACATCTCGACCCTGGATTTTAGAGGCGCCGAGAATCCACTAGTCCAGGTGAAGCCATGGAACTATAGTTCTCAACGTTGCTGAAAGTGGAGTTCGTGGAGATTCAAACTGCGCAAAGCAAAAATTAAGGGACCCAAAAGTAGAGGCCACTTTTGAAAATTGAGCCTAAATGCATAAAGTTTTGGTATCAGGTTCATATTTGTGGCAGTAACACAACTTTCGAGGCGTGCTATGGGCTGATGCACTCGTATTTCTGGAGATTGGTGGTTTCATCATAATGCTTAGTACAGATTTGATCATGTCAACAAATTCTGTCAAAATTGCTTGCTAGTCACAGATGTAAGAGTCTAGGTACTGGTGTTTTCTTTAAATATTTATCAAGTCCTTTGTCCAGAAGTTGGGGATAAGTAGAAAATTACATAGATACAAATTAGGGCTGTCAAGCAATTGAAAAAATTAACCGTGCGATTAATCGCACAATTAAACAATAATAGAATATCATTTAAATATTTTGGATGTTTTTCTACATTTTCAAATATAGTGATTTAAATTATAACAGAATACAAAGTGTACAGTGCTCACTTTATATTTATTTACAAATATTTGCACTGTAAAAAACAAAAGAAATGGTATTTTTCAGTTCACCTAATACAAGTACTGTAGTGCAATCACAACAGTTGAACTTACAAATGTAGAATTGTACAAAAAAAACTGTATTCAAAAATAAAACAATGTAAAACTTTAGAGCCTACAAGTCCACTAAGTCCTATTTCTTGTTCAGCCAATCGCTCAGACAAACAAGTTTGTTTACGTTTGCAGGAGATAATGCTGCCTGCTTCTTCTTCACAGTGTCACCTGAAAGTGCGAACAGGTGTTCGCATGGCACTGTTGTAGCCGGCATTGCAAGATATTTACGTGGCAGATATGCTAAACATTCGTAGGCCCCTTCATGCTTCAGCCACCATTCCAGAGGACATGCTTCCATGCTGATGATGCTTGTTAAAAAAATAATGCGTTAATTAAATTTGTGACTGGGAGAGTGTCATAAATATAAAGGGAAGGGTAACAACCTTTATGTGTGCAGTAACATAAAATCCCTCCTGGCCAGAGGTACAGTCAGAGGTACAGAATCATTTTACCTGTAAGGGGTTAGTCAGTTCAGTTAACCTAGTTGGCACCTGACCAGAAGGACCAATGGGAAAAGAAGATACTTTCAAATCTGGGGTGGGGAGGTTTTGTTTGTGCTCTCTTTATTTGTTCCCTCTGGATAGATAGAGAGAGAGAGAGAGAGACCAAGCAGGTAACCCATCTCTTGAAAAGATACCTTGAAATGATACATCTAAAATTACAGAAATTGTAAGAAAAAGGCAATTAAATGTTTTAGATGATCTTTTGTTTTAGCCTGTGAATTTTCCCTATGCTAAGAGGGAGGTTTATTCCTGTTTTTGTAACTTTGAAGTTGAGCCTAGAGGGGAATCCTCTGTGTTTTTAAATCTTTTTATCACTCTGTAGAATTACCTTCCATCCTGATTTTACAGAGGTGCTTCTTTTACTTTTTTCTTTATAATAAAGATCTTCTTTTAAGAATCTGATTGATTTTTAGTGTCCTAAAAACCAAAGGGTTTGTTCTGTGCTCACTTTGTTAACATGTTGGTTAGTATATTATTCTCAAGCCTCCCTGGGTAAGGGGGTGAAGGGGTTGGGGGGGGGGATATTTTGGGGAAATAGGAACTCCAAGTGGTCCTTTTTCTAAATCACTTGGTGGTGGCAGAAATACAGTCCAAGGACAAGGAAAGGATTTGTGCCTTGGGGAAGTTTTTAACCTAAGCTGGTAGAAATAAGCTTAGGGGGTCTTTCATGTGGGTCCCCACATCGGTAACCCAGAGTTCAGAGTGGGGAGGGAACCCTGACAGAGAGATTTGTATATTTCTGGCTCTATTATATCCGCATTCTGCTATATATTTCATGTTATAGCAATCTCGGATGATGACTCAGCACATATTTATTTTAAGAACACTTGGCTGAACAAGAAGTAGGACTGATTGGAGTTGCAGGCTCTAAAGTTTTGCATGGTTTTGTTTTTGAGTGCAGTTATGTAACAAAAAAAAATCTACATTTGTATGTTGCAGTTTCACAATACAGAGATTGCACTACAGTACTCGTATGAGGTGAATTGAAAAATACTGTTTCTTTTGTTTATCATTTTTACAGTGCAAATATTTGTAATAAAAAATAATTATATAAAGTGAGCACTGTATATTTTGTATTCTGTGTTGTAATTTAAATCAATATATTTGAAAATGTAGAAAAACATCCAAAAATATTTAATAAATTTAAATTGATATTCTATTGTTTAATATTGTGATTAAAACTGCGATTAATCATGATTAATTTTTTAATTGCGATTAATTTTTTTGAGTTAATCGTGTGAGTTAACTGCGATTAATCGACAGCCCTAATACAAATAAATGAAACCAGGGAAACTGTCAGAAGAAAAATAAGATATCCAGAAAGAAAAGCAGCACCTAGTTTGAAAAATATTCAAAGAATGTGTATGTTGGAAGTAATGTTTGTGAACATTTGATGAAAGAAAAAAATCACAACAGGATGAGTGTGTTAAGAGGGAAAGGTGTCACTTCTTAAAAACTGGGGCAATTGAGACATTGTGGTTAGTAAATTTTTATATACGGATGGATTTAGAACAAACGAAAGGAAATACTTTTTCACTTCTGTTTGAGGTCATTGAATCAACTACTGTGGCTGATTGTATTTTAAGGGCTGCATAATTTAACAACCAATGGGGGGAGGGATAGCTCAGTGGTTTGAGCATTGGCCTGCTAAACCCAGGGTTGTGAGTTCAATCCTTGAGGGGGCCATTTAGGGATCTGGGGCCAAAAAATAATAAAAAGAATCTGTCAGGGACAGTACTTGGTCCTGCTGTGAAGGCAGGGGACTGGACTCGACTCCATGACCTTTCAAGGTCCCTTCCAGTTCTATGAGATAGGTATATCTCCATATATTACTCTGTTATTGGTAATGCTTCAAGACCTCTGCTGGATCAAGAACAGGTATTTTTCCCCAGTACCATATTGCACAGTTGTCTAGGTACATTATATCAGCAGGGCTTAAAGTCAGGGAGATCACAGACCTGGCAAAATAAAAATTAAGCTGGGTCACTGAGAGCACACTTTAAGCACTCTTACCAAAGCTGGTGCTCCCAGATTATGAAACACCCCTTACTTTTTTTCAGACAATGTTAAACGCTGGTTTTCAGTTTTTTCACCAATATTAGCCACTGCTAGGATCCTAGGATCCTACTCCCATGGAAGTCAGTGGCAAGACTTCCATTGACTGCAGTAGGAGCTGGATAACATCGTATATTAGAAAGTTCAGAGGAGGTGATGGAATGATCTGCCAGGAACAGTGCTGCAGGGAAGTTTATTGCACCCCTCCCTTGTCCACCAGCAGGAAACATTAACAGGATAATAAGCACTGGGTTTTTTTATTTACAGTAAAAGGCCAAATTTATCCCCTGTGCAACTCCACTGATTTAAATCAATAATTACATGGGGATGTATTCATCCCTGGATGTTTATTCATATAAATCTCTCACTTATAATCATACAGCAGGAAGCCAGTGAGAAAAATTGTTGTTTGCCAATTGTTGCCTGGCTTTGCGGTTTAAAATCTAGGTGAAACCAAACGAAAGACTTACAGTGTCAAAGAGGATCAGGGAATGAGTCAGTTTCTCTGTTTACATTTATAAAAGCTCATAGTCAATTCAGAAGGAAGTCTGTTTCCCAAACCCAAACATCAGACTAAACAAAAGCTAATTTTTGTACATTTAGAGGTAGCAAGTGCAGTGTTTTAAACTTGTTGAGTAAGATTAAATCCTGTTGTGAGTAGAGGTGGGGCACGGATAACAATGCAACTATCTGGTTGTCATGCGAGATTACAAATCACATGGTAAAGTTTTATGCTGAGACTTCCCAGAATGATGGAGAGTGTTACAGACCTGTCTGAGTCACCCTCATGGATCACAAGTCTGTTCTAATTGGACTCAACCTTTGTGCTTCCAAGCCAGCTGGGACTGGGCAGCATCAAATCAGTTTCTAGATCAGGGCCTATAAGGGTATGTCTACACAGCCCTGGTCTACACTGGGTGGGGGATCGATCTAAGTTACGCTGCTTCAGCTATGTGAATAACGTAGCTGAAGTCGACGTACTTAGATCGACTTACCGTGGTGTCTTCACTGTGGTGAATCGACTGTTGCCGCTCCCCCATCGACTCTGCCTGCGCCTCTCGCACAGCTGGAGTACAGGAGTCAACAGGAGAGTGCTCGGGGGTCTATTTATCGTGTCTAGACTAGACGCGATAAATCAATTCCCGCTGGATCGATTGCTGTCCGCCGATCCGGCGGGTAGTGTAGACATACCCACAGCAAAGTAAAACCTGTGGCTGGCCCATGCCAGCTGATTCTAGCTCATGGGGCTGTTTTATTACTATGTGGACTTCCAGGCTCGGGCTGGAGCCCGGCATCTAGGACCTTGTGAAGTGGGAGGATCCCAGAGCTTGGGCTCCAGCCTGAGCCTGAACATCTACACAGCAGTTTTTCAGCTCCAGAGCCTTAGCCCTGCAAGCGCAAGTCAGCTGACTTGGGCCAGCCACAGGTTTTTTATCCCTGTGCAGACATGTCCTAAGGTACATCCTTACAGATCTTTAGGAAACACAGAAAAGCCTGTATGCTCTCACCCTTGAATCTGTGCTCAGTTGTCTGAGCCCTTGGACCCACTCCTGCAGTCCTTCCACTTTCTGGCAGTGATCAGATATGGGGGGAGAGAGAGACCGGGGCAGATCCTGCTTTTACATAACATTTCTGAACCCTCTGTCTGGTGACCAGCTAAT